AATTAAGTATGAATTTATATACTTAATAAAAATTATACTTATTTAGTAAGTATAAACATATATACATAAAAAATTTTAAAGTTCACCAAATGTAACCGAGAAAAATAAAAAAAAAAAGCTGCTGTTCAATGAATATACAGACCGATCCCTGTCCGTATAACTATATACGGACCGGGATCGGTCCGTATATATCACGTAAAAAAAACAAATAAAAAATAAAGAAAACATATTTATTTTATTTAATAATTACGTAATATTACCAAATAATGCAAAAATATATTTTACCATTCAAAATAAATGCATTTATAAAAAAATAAAATATGTTTCGAATAATTATTTAAAATAATAACTTAAAATATGTAAAAGTTTAACTATATTATATATGAAAAGTTTTAAAATTCACCAAATGTAACATTGAAAAAAAAAGAGTTACTGTTCAGGGTATATAGGGACCGATCCCGGTCCGTATATATCATGTAAAAAAAAACAAATAAAAAATAAAGAAAACAAATTTATTTTATTTAATAATTACGTAATATTACCAAATAATGCAAAAATATATTTTACCATTCAAAATAAATGCATTTATAAAAAAATAAAATATGCTTCGAATAATTATTTAAAATAATAACTTAAAATATGTAAAAGTTTAATTATATTATATATGAAAAGTTTTAAAATTCACCAAATGTAACCTTGAGAAAAAAAAAAGTTACTGTTCAGGGTATATAGGGACCGATCCCGGTCCGTATAACTATATACGGACCAGGATCGGTCCGTATATATCATGAAAAAAATAAAAAATAAAAAATAAATAAAACAGATTTATTTTATTTAATAATTACGTAATATTACCAAATAATGCAAAAATATATTTTACCATTCAAAATAAATGTATTTATAAAAAAATAAAATATGCTTCGAATAATTACTTAAAATATGTAAAAGTTTAACCATATTATACATGAAAAATTTTAAAATTCACCAAATGTAACCTAGAAAAAAAAATAAAAAAGTTACTGTTCAGGAAATATACGGACCGATCCCAGTCCGTATAAATATATATGGACCAATATCGGTCCGTATATATCATTTAAAAAAATCAATAAAAAATAAAGAAAACAGATTTATTTTATTTAATAGTTAGATAATATTACCAAATAATGCAAAAATATGTTTTACCATTCAAAATAAATGCATTTATAAAAAAATAAAATATG